TGCTGTCCCATAGGAAAGCTGTCCCATAGGGCTGCTGTCTCATAGGGCTGGTGTCCTGTAGGGCTGCTGTCCCATAGGAAAGCTGTCCCATAGGGCTGCTGTCTCATAGGGCTGGTGTCCTGTAGGGCTGCTGTCTCATAGGAAAGCTGTCCCATAGGGCCGCTGTCTCATAGGGCTGCTGTCCTGTAGGGCTGCTGTCCCATAGGACTGCTGTCCCATAGGGCTGCTGTCCCATAGGACTGCTGTCCTGTAGGGCTGCTATCCTGGAGTTTTTAGATTGGTTCCAGTTTTAATTCCACCATCAGCCTGCTGATAGTGATGCAGCAGAAAGTTTCAGGACACCAGCCGTCCATGATTTCAATTAGAGGCCACTCAGTTAGCCCATTTCTGCTTAGCTTAGCTTAGTCTGTAGCTAACCTGTCTCATGCTAGCTAGATTTCTTGGGTTACTTCCTCAGCTTAGCTTTGCTCAGTCTGGCCTTTATTAGATCAGGTTTTGCTCATTCTGCTCATTGATCCATTTCAGCTTCCTGTTCTGCATTTCTATGCTCATAACTTGATGTTCATAAGAACAGGAATAAACTGGGAGGCTGAGCTTTGAAGCCTGCAAACAGAAAGAGACCTTAACTATGAACCTGCTCAGACCAGCTCAGGTTCAGCACCAAGGCCAGTGACGTGTTCTGCCCTGTGTCTGCAGGTAAATCCATGCCGTATGAATTCGACATCAGGGTACCGTTTTACATCAGAGGACCAAACGTGGAGCAAGGCAGCATGTAAGCACCAACCCAACGCCCCCCCCCACCACTGACGAAGCTTCAGCACAGCCCTCCTCTGAGGCTGCAGTGGCTGAAGGATTGATCTTCAATAGCCCCTCTGATTAACTGACAGATCAGGGATCTGTCTGGAGGAGCTGAGCTAACATCTGGATCAGCTCTGCAGCTCTTCTGTTAGAAATCAGCACCAAATTAAGCTTAAAACTGATCAGAGTGACAGCAGAATGCATCATTTAGATCTGATTTCAGTGTTCCTCAGAGGGAACGGGAGTCGGTGTAGCGGCTAAAGCAGATTATTGCCCTCAGAGCTGTGGCACCATGAGCAGATTTACTGCTCTTCACTGCGTTTAAAGCTTTCTCAGCCCAATTTAACATGAATTATTTACTTTGAAATGTTATACAGAAGCACATCTCTAGACAACCATGCCTCCTCGCTCTGCTGTAGCTTAGCAACAGAAACTTTCCAGAGTTGGATCTTTATTTTATCTACAAATTGAAGGAAAGTCAGGAATTTATCTCCCTGTTTGAGAACTTTAATCATGACGGATCCTAACCATGAAAATCTGGGTGTTTGTTTCAGTAACGCTCACATGGTTCTGAACATCGATCTGGCTCCAACCATCCTGGACATCGCCGGCATCGACATTCCTCCAGACATGGACGGAAAGTCCATCCTATCCCTGCTGGACACCGACAAATCAGCCAACAGGTGGAAACACCCAGAGGGGCTATTCAGAGCCCACAGCGT